AAGATGTGTATTGACACATTAGGTAGATCATCACCAAGACCCACTTGAAACTGTCTAAATACATCAAATGATCAAGCATCCATGTTATCCCTTGTTTAATTTCAAATCAGTGCTTGAAACAAAAGTACTTTTAACACAAAAAGATACAACTGTTAGGAGCATTGGAGGGTAAATAAGTTCTAATGTTCATAGGTAATTTGAACATCAGACACAACGTTAAATTTGTCCCCTTGATACATTTTAAACTCTTGGCTGCGAAGACTTGTACAACACCTGTTTTTTATTTTTAGATATAAAGTATAACCTGAAAAATGAAATAAATATATAAGAAATTTTTTTAATGAATAATATCAACTAGATATTAGAAACTAACAAAATTAACAATTAAAAATAATTTAACCTACACAAAAACTAATAACTTGAAATATATATTATTATTTAATATTTTTTATTTTAAAGTATGACTAGAAAAAGAAATAAATATAAAAGATAAAAGTTAAGTGAACAAAATAAATTTTAGAACTAGAAACAAAAATATACAAAATATAATTTATAAAATTAAATAAAACTTTTGATTTTTATTTAAACTATAGTTTATAAGAACAAAATAAATATAAAAGATTAAAACCATAATTAAAATTAGAGACAGTAAAACTTAACCAAAAACTAACTAAAATAAATTTATTTTATTTTATTTAAACTAAAGAGAAAACTAACTAAATCAAAAATGAATCAGAAAAAAGAAAAAAGCATTGGAAAACAATTTTTTTTTGTTTATTTATTTATTTATTTAAAGAAAATGTTTTCTAAGAACATATATCAACATTTAGGTGTGTTATTATTATTATTATTATTATTATTATTATTATTATTATTATTATTATTATTTTTAATTTTTATAGAGAACATGTAGGTTAAAGATTAGAAGCCCAAAACAAAAGGTTATAGAACCCTTATAGCGTCGCCTGCAACCTGCTTCATAGCGTCTCCTTCGATTCTAGCTCCAGCCAAGGTTAGCGAGTTCACAACATACATCGCATTCTTCAATTTCTGTAACAAATTCCTCCATTTGAAATATTTCTTTTGTTGTCCAAACAGGTGACTCGTGAAACATTGTTGGTAGAAATAGTATGTGTACAACCGAATAGAGCGTGAAAAACACTTTCCTTTATCTTGAAATAAAAACACAAAAAGCTGATGCAAAGCTCTTTTTTTTACATGTCAGCATGAATCCTTCTTCAATTTTTGTATTTTTTTAAAGAAAAAAAACTAATTTATGATGGGATGCAAGTTTTTTCTGATAAAACTACTTTCTAATAAGGCTTTCTTTCTACATTGCTTTTCAGACTTGTCTATTATTAATGTCAGCAGGGACCTGTATCTACTCGATGGCCGCAATACATGCTTCTGACCATTCATCTTTTTCTTGTGGTACCCAGACCATAATTCCCCTTAACCTCATGCCACAAATGATTTCAAGAGGTCCCATGAGTTCTGTGTTTTTCTCTTGCAAACTTACCATTTGTGGCAACCTAGGCCATCTGTTGAAGTTTTTCTTCACAACTCTCGGTGAAACACAAAGTGTTTATTTAAATAATCCATAACTCTCGTGATAAGAGAAGATAAGACTATATGTTGCACCCTTATAACCTCCATGAGCTTTTGCATTTGCTTTTGTTTTCCTTATATCCTCCAGGAACTGTTCTTCACCTTGCAGACATGAATTGTAGATGTAACATACCCCTATGGCACGTATCACAATATTGTCCGCTTTGGGCACTCGACACGAGAACTTCCCAGGGGGGTACCTTATAAGGGGTGTGGATACCTTCCTTATCACAACACGTTTTAAAGTCGTGATGACAGTAAATCCCGTAAGAACTCTACAGTTAAGCGTGCTCAGGCGAGAGTAGTACTGGGATGGGTGACCCCCTAGGAAGTCCTCATGTCGAGTGCCCAAAGAGGACAATATTGTGATACGTGCCGGAGGGGGATGTTACAAATGATATCAAAACAGGGGCACGGGTCGATGTGTTCGACAGGGACGTCGAACCCTATAATGGGGGTGAAGGTGGGTTGCACCTGACCCCACATTGACTAGGAAGAAGAACGAAACATTTCCTTATAAGAGGTGTGAATGGAGTGAGTCTACGACCACAATGTCGGCCCACAAGTAAGAGTGTTGGATAGATGATTGTCTTTGTGATAATTATCTAGTGTTGATATGAAATATGATTATTGTGCTTGATATGTTTACTGTGTTTGATATGTGTTAGCAGTAGTAGGGGTGAAATACTCACCGATTACCGATTGAAAGATATCGAAAGGGAGGGTAGCTCCCAGTTACCGGTTGAAAGATACCGAAGGGGAGGTTAGTTCCCGGTTACTGGTTGAAAGATACCGAGGAGGAGTCCAGCTCCTGGCTATGCCCGAAAATTACCGGTTGAAAGATACCGAAGATTATACATTATTTTGTATGGGTATGATGAGGAACCCACAAAGCTTTGTGCTTACAGTTTTTAATTTTGGTTTCAGGTACCTCTTCAGCTAAGGGGGAGGAGCCGGCGGGGTAGCAGCGCATCATATATTCACACATGATATTCCACATTTGAGAAACCTGAGATTGTACTATGATATTATACAATTTGCTAATATGGTTTTGAGACTTGTGATTTGTGACTTTATGTTTGAAAGGATTTCAATGTTGTTTTCGGTTAGCTATTTTTACAAGTAATATACTTTAAAACATAAATTTTTGGGTCTCGATTTTGAGATGTTACACATATGCTAATGTATAAAATACAACCGTGCATTTTTTTTATTAGATCAAAGTCTAATGTATCTCTTACGTTGGGGCATTGCAAGATATAACCAGACGCTCCACTCGCACCTTTGAAAATACGCATAAACAAATCTTTATGCATTCAGAACGATCGACAGAAGTAATATCCTTGAAAAAAAAACATGTTCGTCAAAATAATCATGCATGAGATAATGGTGGACTTCTTTACGTTCTCTTTGGATATATTTTCTTCGTTTACATTGCGCAATGTTCGCTTCATAATTCTTAATTGCTTGTTCTAGCATATTATATACGCTGATGATATATTGTCATGAGAGCATCACATGAGGAAGATGACGATGAGGACTATTTTTTTATAAAATGATGGAGGCTTTAAAAGATGTATTGAAATTTATGTGTGTTGAAATATGAAAGTTTATGTGTTTATTTATAGTGGTTGATAAGAAGTAAAAAAATTGATTTACATTTTTATAAAAATATATACATTTATTTAAAAAATAAAAAAAGTTGGTAAAAACACATTCTCTCTCTCTCTCTCTCTCTCTCTCTCTCTCTCTCTCTCTCCTCTCTCTCTCTCTCTCTCTCTCTCTCCTTTATAGGGGTGTCAACGGGACCAAGCGGGAGCGAAAATAGCTACCCCTACCCCTGGTCCCACCCGCAGACCGCAACCCGCAGTTACCTCTATCGCCCCCGATCCAACCCCCGGTTTACATGTATAAAATTTGATTTTTTTTTTTTTGCTAAAAAGTTGTTTTGTTTTTGGCTAAAAAGACTATGTTTAATAACTTTAAAAGCTTAAAATATGGTGTTTTAGAAACTAAAAAATTAAAAATTCAACATTACAAATCGACAATTCCAACAATCTTACAAATATAAAATACGACAAATCTAACATTACAAATAAAAAATACTTACATGTCCAAAAATATATGAGCAAATTCACTACAACTTCATTATCCATTAATTGGAAACGGGAAAGTAAAACCTAAAATTTGAAAATATATTTTGTATATGTATTTTATATTAAATATATATTCTTTTTAACATAAATGTATAACCGTGGCCCTCGTGGGAGTACGGGACGGAAATACCGACTCCTGACCCTGGTTCCGAAATTAAACGGGGTTTAATTCTGCCCCTGCCTCCGCTCCCGCTCTCGATTTTTTTTTATATAATTTATTCTCGTACAGTATCGAGGTTCCACATGAACGGGGTTCCACGAAAGTTTTTGACATCCCTACTCCTTTAGCAACACCCTGCCGAGCCCATTGATGAAAGTCATGGGCAGTGTTTGGCAATAACGTGTGCTATCAATTTTGTTGACGGCCCCACTAATGGCGTGTTTGGAAAAAGTAGATGTTAGCTAGAAGCGGTTAGCGGATAGCGGGTAGCTGGTAGCGGGAAGCTGTAGCTTTTATTTGTTATATGAGTGTTTGGCAAAAGTAGTTGGAAGCTTTTGAAATATATAAAACTACATAAAAGGACAACTGATTAATATATATATATATATATATATATATATATATATATATATATTTTAAGGGTAATTATGGAAATTAATTTCAAAAGGTCAGTAGCGTTTTGTTAAACGCTACATGAAGTAGCTTTTAGATTTGGAACATTTTGTTTAAACTAAAAGCTAGCGTATTGACAAACAAAGTTTTTTGTTTAAACTAGAACGTTTTGTTGAAAGCTAAAAGTTAGAAGCTCCGAAACGCTTCTAAAAGCTCCGTGTCAAACACGCCCTGAGTCTAAAGGATATTGTTTAAAAAAGCGTAGTAAGTTTGAAGTTTTGATGGTAAAAAAAATTGATGATTAGGTAAACCATTAAAATTAGAGTAAATTACTGAAACCGTCCCTGTGGTTTGGTCAAAATTGCACGTTTGGTCCCTAACTTTTTTTTTGCACTCGAATTATCCCTGTGGTTTGCTTTTGTTGCGTTTTTCGTCCCTATGGTTTGGTAAAATTTGCATGTTTGGTCCCTATCTTTATGTATGTAAGGGACGAAAAATGCAACAAAATCAAACCACATGGACGAAAAACACAACAAAATCAAACCACAGAACGATCTGAATGCAAAAAATAAGTTAGGGACCAAACGTGTAATTTTGACCAAACCACAGGGACAAGTTGAGTAATTTACTCTTAAAATTATGTAAACGGGTTTTATTAGAATATTTGAACCGATGGAAGTTGTAAAATTGACGGTTCGTAAAAACCGGTCATCGGCCTTTCGAAAACCTATATATAAGCATTCTCTTCGTCCCATCTTTGACACTCCAAATCAAGCACAAGTACAACGCTTAAGTGATCGGAGCTATTTTAGGGTTTTTCTTTCTTCATCGCTGATCGACAATGAGTACGGAAGGTTCGACTAAAGGCGGGAGAGGTAAATCTAAAATAACAAAATCAGTCTCCAGATCTCAGAAAGCTGGCATCCAATTCCCCGTCGGTAGAATCGCTCGATTCCTCAAAGCCGGTAAATACGCGGAACGTGTTGGTGCCGGAGCTCCAGTCTATCTCGCTGCCGTTCTTGAATACCTCGCTGCTGAGGTTGATCATTTACATTCGTTGTTTCATTTTATTTTTGGTTTGTGCTATTGTTCTTGTGATTTGATTTGGAGTTTGTTTTAGCAGGTCCTTGAATTGGCGGGAAATGCAGCGAGGGATAATAAGAAGAATCGGATTGTTCCGAGGCATATACAGTTGGCTGTGAGAAACGATGAGGAATTAAGCAAGCTTTTGGGGACTGTTACTATTGCTAATGGCGGCGTTTTACCTAATATTCATCACAATCTGTTGCCTAAAAAGTTTGGGAAGGGGAAGGATGAGATTGGATCTGCTTCGCAAGAATTCTAAGGGTTTAATTAGTATCTGCGACCGGATCTCATAGTTTTGAGGATTGTTAAACATCTTTGGGGTTTTTCATATTGTTTTCCTGATCTCAAAATCAATGTAAAACCCTGGCCTATATACGTAATACACATTGATCAGTTGATCCCTGATCCTGAATTTTGAAGATTAAATGAAATTTAGTTGTAAAAATTTGACATGAGGGTTTATTTTTGCTGTGTGTTATGCCAATGAACAAGAGTTTGCAAACGATATTATATGAGTTAATTAATACTAACACGCTTGACCTTGATGAAGGTAATCATCTTAAAGTTCATGAGAGTTTATTTTACATGCAATGGAACAGCATTTATCCTCTACTTATGTTCTAAGAACTTTTTTCAGGCATCCAAGTGGCAAAAAGACACAGACAAAGCCATGAATACTACTGTCGCTGGAAAAAAAAAAGAAACACGGTTCATACTTTTGCTACAAGCAGACTTTTTATATTTTGACAAAAATGAAATGTTACTTCTTTGATTCTGTTGCAGCTTTTGGGGAACCACATAACATGACGGGTTAGAATTTATCGTGTGATCATTGGCTCAGTAGGCAATACTTAATACGAACATTATTATGAATGGATATGAACACGTTGAGGAAACCCCATTGCTATATAATTGTGCTTGATTGAAGGGAAAAATAATTGTTACTAAAACCAATAAGCTTCTTCATGAGTTGACTTTTATCTTTTTTTTTTTTTTTTTTTTTTTTCTGTAAATTGTTATGAATAGTTGTGCATACAAGAGTTTGTTCTTCTTGTTACTTTTTAGGCTGCGGAATATCCAATGACTTAGGGATGAAACAACTGGTAGAACATGCCTTTGATAGATTGACAAGAATATTTTTTATTAATTAATTAAATTCTTAAACAGTATTTTGATAAACAAATATTCTTTATTAATAGATAATATCACGATGACGAGGGCATTAAGTAAATATAAGTTTTAACTTTTTAGTAAAGATATTGTAGTTTTTGGCATTAAGTAAATATAAGTTTTAACTTTTTAGTAAAGATATTGTAGTTTTTGGTTGACAAAGAAGAAAGAAAATAAAATTTTCATGTGAGAAAGCTATTTAATACCATGAGAAGAATTCTGTTTTTTTATTTTTTTATTACTTTTTTAGTTGATCGCTTTCCAGATTGTTACTTCCGGGAGTATTCCATTTCCACCAGATACAGATACAGCCTTTCAAACACAGTTTGGTCTTTGCTGGCCCACTAACTCTCATTCTCCCTTTTTTGATTTTTCCCTGTTAATCCCCGTCTTTGATGCGTTCATCCTGTGGGGTTTCACTTTCACCCAAATTTCAATTCAAAATCAGCAGAAGAAGATTCAAAAGTCTCAACATCGATCGTCAAATTTCATGTTCTATTATTTGTCAACTTTTTTGTACTAACAATTGAAGCAGTAATAGTGATTTAGATAGAGAGTCTCACTAAAACTCAGGGACCACGTCTCCCACCACCTCCATTCACCATCGTGGCACGGAGGTGGGATTTGCTCCAATCCTTTTTTCTCTTTCGAACGTTTCATTGAGATTCGTTTCTTATTCTTTCTACTTGGTAGAATTGATTTTGGGGATCCATAAGAATTGGGGTTTTGGCTTTGATGGGTTCAAAGCCTTGGCTACAACCCGCTCCCTCCTATCACCCATTGGAGACGTATTGGGACACTGAAGACGACGCCCCTGGACCTAGATGTGCCCACACTCTGACCGCCGTCGCCCAAACCAAAGCTCACGGCCCTCGGCTGATCTTATTCGGCGGCGCCACTGCCATCGAAGGTGGCGCTTCCTCCCCCGTCCCCGGCATCAGTAATGTTTTAAACCTCTCTTAATCCTTACATAAATAATTTGAAATAGCTTCGAGTTATTGACTCTTTGTTGGATTCACAACTTTAGGGTTAGCTGGCGTGACAAATTCTGTTCATTCTTACGATGTTCTGACCAGGAAATGGACCAGGTAGTTCTAATTCGTTCTTGTATTTGATTTAACTTTTCTACAAGTCAATGCTAATGTTTTTTTTTTTTTTCAGAATTCGACCAGCTGGAGAACCACCTTCACCCAGGGCTGCTCATGCAGCTGCTGTTGTTGGAACCATGGTTGTATTTCAGGTAACCATAAATCCATAATTATGAACTAAAGCGAAAAAAAAAAAAAAAAAAAGAGAGAGAGAGAGCTTTTAGCCTTTTATCTGATTTTTTGGTTTTTGATAAACTGATTGTGCATGATTAGGGCGGCATTGGTCCTGCTGGGCATTCAACAGATGATCTTTATGTGCTTGACATGACTAATGATAAATACAAATGGCACAGGTAACCTTTTTTGTGGAATTGGAATTCTCAGTTAATGCTTACAATTCTGTTCAAGTGTTGACTTGATTTCTTGTTTGTGGTGTGCAGACTTGTTGTTCAAGGACAGGGTCCTGGCCCGCGATATGGCCATGTCATGGACTTGGTTGCACAACGATACCTAGTTACTGTTAGTGGCAATGATGGTGAGTGGATTTATGAACAGATGGGTGCATTTACATTCTTGTAATTGTAATTTGTAACCACTAACAATATCATCTGTGATCTGTGTTTTTCTCTAGGAAAGAGAGTATTGTCAGATGCTTGGGCTCTGGATACTGCTCAAAAACCATATGCATGGCAGAAGCTGAATCCAGAAGGTGATAAACCTTCTGCTAGAATGTAAGTGGATATTTTTAGTTGTAAGTAGATAATTGTCCTTTATTTGAGATTGAGGGTATTTGTGTATTCTGTCGATTTTATGTTGGTCTTTTCAGGTATGCAACAGCTAGCGCACGCTCAGATGGCATGTTTTTGCTTTGTGGTGGAAGAGACACCTCTGGCACGGTATGTGGATTATCATTATCAATTATCATGTAGGCTTACCATAATATTCTATTACTATATTTAATTTTAATACAGTGATTACAGTCCATTGTCCACTTTTAAAAATTCTATTAATAATTATTATATTATATAAGATGATAAAAGCTATACTAGTATACATAAACCTGTACATTTACTTAATAATGTGGTTTAGGAGGTTTTAAGTATTTGGATACAGTATGGGTGATTTGTGACCTATTTGACCCATCTGAGTTGCTTCATACTAGCCAAGTTCTTTTAAATATATACCATTCGACCCGATGAAGATAATGTATAACCCAAATTAACCCATTTTTAGGTAAACAGATGAGTACATACAACTTGATGCTTTTTCTCTCTTTTTTTTATTAACAATATTACAGTTCAAAATTTCATATTATAACCAGCCAATATTGTTAAACCAATAACAAATGAGTACAAGTCTTTTTGTAAGATTGAGTAGATTTTGTGATGGTTTTAGTTGTATGTGTGCATGTGCAGCCGTTGGCAGATGCTTATGGACTCCTGATGCATAGGAATGGCCAATGGGAATGGACTCTTGCACCTGGAGTCTCCCCATCATCAAGATACCAACATGCCTCTGTAAGTAATAGGACTCTGACTCTCTCTCCCTCTTGTGTGTGAGTGTGTGTGTGTGTGTGTAAAGTTGCTAATGATGAATTGATCTGGTGGTAATCAGGTCTTTGTTGGGGCTCGGCTGCATGTTACAGGAGGTGTTCTGAGGGGGGGTCGGGCTGTAGATGGTGAAGCAGCCGTTGCAGGTTAATTCATATGGATTAAGTTTGTATTTTTTTTTTAATATAATTAACGAGTGAGTGTATATAAATAAGCAGATATGAATTTTACTTTTACAGTTTTGGACACGGCTGCTGGTGTTTGGTTAGATAGACATGGGTTGGTGACCGCCACACGGACTACGAAGCCCCAAACAGAAGATCCTTCTTTGGAAGTCATGCGCCGTTGTCGCCATGCTGCTTCTGCTGTCGGTGTCCGTTTATATATCTATGGTGGCCTCAGGGGAGGTAAGGCTTAAACCCAATAAATTCACTACTCATAAGTCAAACAGAATATGTATATATATATATATATATATATATATATATATATATATTTTTTATAATATAATATTGTTTGTTATATGTGTGGTGCAGAGATTTTGTTAGATGATTTCCTAATCGCTGAGAATTCGCCTTACCAATCTGATGTGAATACTCCTGTACTAACATCAGAGAGAAGCTCCAGTCCCAGGACAAATCCTTTGACCCCATTTGATCCTTTAACTCCTGATAATGGATCTCAAAGTCCCTCATCTGGAGGCTTAAGGTTATTAGTCGTGATATATTTTAAAGGGAAAAAGTTGAATTTTGGAAAACCCTTTTTGCTAGAATAACTTTGAAAATGGAGAAAGTTGGTTTCCAAATTTCAACTTTTCCCGTATTATAGAACATGACATAATGTTGTTGGTTTTATTAATTATGGAAGTGATTGATGATGATGATGTTTGGGTTGGGCTGACAGCATGGACAAAGAATCAATGAACAGGCTGGTGGAAGCTTCGGCTGCTGAAGCGGAAGCTGCTAATGCGGTGTGGCAAGCCGCACAGGCACATGCTGCATCTCCTGAAGAGACATCTGTTGCAGCAGCAGATGATAACAGCGCACAAGCTGCAGATAATCATTCGGAGGGTAGTGATGGGGAGGGAGATGTTCGACTTCATCCAAGAGCTGTATGATATTTCTTGTTTTCTAACATTATGTTACTATTCAGATGCTAAAGTAACAGTAACATACTGCAGGTTGTTGTGGCGAAAGAGGCTGTGGGTAACCTAGGTGGACTGGTGAGGCAGTTGTCCTTGGATCAGTTTGAAAACGAAAGCAGACGAATGATTCCTTTGCAAAATGACATGTCATATTCTGCCAAAAAGTTTACAAGGCAAAAGTCACCACAAGGGCTCCATAAGAAGGTAAAAATTCCGAGTCCATTTTTTCTGTTATTGATTTACTTAGTATATATGGATGTTTTTTTTGCAGATCATATCTACTTTGCTTAGGCCTAGAAACTGGAAACCTCCTGCCAACAGGAGGTTTTTCCTGGATTCTTATGAGGTGGGAGAGCTTTGCTACACGGCTGAGCAGATATTTTTGCATGAGCCTACAGTACTTCAGCTGAAAGCTCCCATCAAAGTGTTTGGTGATTTACATGGTCAGTTTGGTGATCTGATGCGGTTGTTTGATGAATACGGATATCCTTCAACAGCTGGAGATATAACGTAAGTATGACTAGATTATAATACTTGATTTGTGTTGTTGTTTACTTGTTTTTGTGTGTGGGTCCACTCCAGGTATATCGACTATTTATTCCTTGGGGATTATGTTGACCGAGGACAACATAGTTTGGAAACCATCACTCTGCTCCTTGCTCTAAAGGTAAGCAAGCAAGCCAGCCATCCAACATCATACTATGATTTGATTTGATTTGATTTGATTTATTAATAATAATTATTATGTTGGTTGGTTGTTATCAGATTCAGTATCCGGAGAATGTTCACTTGATACGAGGGAATCATGAGGCTGCTGATATCAACGCACTCTTTGGTTTCCGTCTTGAATGCATTGAAAGAATGGTATGATTCTGCTGATGAAGGGTTTTTATTTTTTATATGCATGGATGGACTATGGATGTACGTAATACATAATGCATATAATACATAATACATACAGGGAGAGAATGATGGGATATGGGCATGGACACGGTTCAATCAGCTATTCAACCATCTTCCACTTGCAGCGCTTATTGAGAAAAAGATAATCTGTATGCATGGTGGCATAGGGAGATCCATACATTTAGTTGAACAGATTGAGAAAATAGAAAGGCCCATAACCATGGATGCCGGATCCCTTGTCCTCATGGATCTGCTCTGGTAACCAACTAAATTCTGCTTTTTTTTTTTATTTTGTTTTGTTTTGTTGTGTTGTGTTTCAACTTTCAAGACAAGAAAGATAAGGATACATCATAATTTATACATATACATTTATTCTTATATCTGGCTGGCAGGTCTGATCCTACAGAAAATGATAGCGTGGAAGGTCTGAGGCCAAACGCTAGGGGCCCTGGTCTCGTCACTTTTGGGGTATGTATGTTTTAGTTATTTACAGCTACTGATTAGTTTATGCATAATATTATAGCTAGTAACTACTACATGCATTGCATTTGCAGCCTGACAGGGTTTCGGACTTTTGTAAGAGGAACAAACTTCAGCTGATTATAAGAGCGCATGAATGTGTAATGGACGGGTTTGAAAGATTTGCTCAGGGACAACTCATTACCCTTTTCTCTGCAACCAATTACTGCGGTAACAATTAGAAAATTTTTGATTTTGGTATCTCATCTAATCAAAATATAAAATTATGGTGGGTTTGTTTGTGGGTTTCAGGTACGGCTAACAATGCTGGTGCTATACTAGTAATCGGGAGGGGGCTGATGATTGTTCCAAAACTCATTCATCCATTGCCACCTCCACTTCAATCACCAGAAACTTCTCCAGAACGTCCCCCCCAAGATGACACCTGGATGCAGGTTTCTCTTCTCTTCACACTTCAATTTATAATGTCTTATCATTCTGATTCCGATTCTGTGTTGTTTGTAGGAGTTGAATATACAAAGACCACCTACCCCAACCAGGGGACGCCCACAACCTGACCACGATAGGAGTTCCCTTGCATATATTTGACAAGCATATCCATTTTTGAACTATTTTCTTTCTTCTTCTTCTTGTATGTGGAAGGCAACTGCATGCATGGCCACTGGCAAGGGTTTGTCTTGTATTTTATTTAAATTATATTATAGTTATCAAGACTGTTTGTAACATATCATACCATGCACATAGTTTTATTCCCATAAATATATATATATTGTAAATTTGGGCATATTTTGTTACATCACAAGACAAATGATGGTGTGTACTGGTACTGTAGAAATAAAAAAAAACTAAATGTAGCTTACTTTTATCTTGATCCAATATTTGTTATGTAATACGCTTGCACTTGGTTATGATGAGCTCACCAGACTAGTTACAATTTCACCCAAATGTGATCTGTGTACAGGTAGCTTTGTTAATGTTTGGAATAAAGGAATAACTGTCGTATATTGCAACTGCCCCAAAATGATCACGTTGCAGAGCATCTTAGGATAAGTGTGCTGTCTTAGTTCAATTGAATTTTGATTATACATTGTGTAATGATTTGATCAAATAACTAATTAAATGTTCAAACTACCACATACACACATGTTCCGCTTTATGGTTTCAGCACCAACAAGATACGTTTTAAAGATATCAAATGTTACAAGGTTGACCTGAACAAAATAAGCATCTACTACAGAAATGAAAACATACAAAACTAATTAACCTCTTTCCCTTCTCTGTAAACACATGCTTTGTGCATAAAATTACACACACACACATGAGGATGATAAAACAACAATCTACATATTCCCCTATCGTCTACACCTATAAACGACATCTTTTTAATTAAACCCCTCCACTTGATGCTTCCTCTCCCTAGTTATAGGCCACTGCAAAAAATACAGCAACAATCACACAGATTAACAACAGAAGCAGGAATTTTTTATTAAAAAATCATTTGTGTTACGTCTTTGATGCAGAAGCAGGCAGATCGTGTCCTTTGTTTGCAAGTCTGAGTGCCCTGAGTTTAGCAGATGCTCTGATGGAATGTATCATGGGCACCTCGTCATCTTCATCCATTTGATTTTCTTCCTCATCTATGGAATCCTCGTCTTCACTTGAGCTGTTGTCAGCAAACAGTTTCTTCCCCTCCATCAATGGTGGTTTCTTACGTGGCCTACCCCGCCCACGTTTAACAGTACTCACCTCTTTTTCATCTGACAGACCAAACCAAATCAATCATCACTTAATTAATAAATACACGACACATGGAGCATAACATAACATAATATAACCAACCAACCAACCAACCTTCATTTCTCAAACATTTCTCATGTATGCTGGCCATAAATGCCTTGAATGGGGCCCACCCACTTGGATCTTGATCCATGTTTTCACCTCTTGTTCGATCCTCAAGATCCTTTATACTGTGTCAATTGTTTGTTGTATGATTAGTATAGTATAACTGACTGCATTACAAAAAAAAAAAAGTAAAGTAAGCTTACATGGCAAGATTATCAGACTTAGCAAGCCTGGATGCGAAATTTATAATAGCAGCCATTAAAAAAGGCAAACGCCATGGACGATCCATGAAGGCAAGATTGATTCCATTGTGCATGATTTTTAATATGACCCCTCTGTATTTCATGCGTGCAGCTGCACCAACAAAGAAACCGGAAAGCCGAGCTGACAGATCTTTACATTCTTTGAACCTCTGGGCAGACAATGACTCATTGTCCGCCGTACTCAGATACCTCCCATATGCCTATATCCCAAATACAATCAAAATAATAATTACTATTTACTAGGATCATCAAGTATATATTTTTTTTCTTAAAAAAAAACAATTATTATTTACCTGTTTGAGTGCCCCTAGAAATATATCAGACACATCTTCGTTCTTTTTTCTAAGAGAAATAATCAGACTTTTTACTACTTCAGCCACACCTGGCCCATGCATTACATAATGAGAAATAATATCCGGGGCAAGATGCTCCTGCAAATACTCCTGCATTTTAAATATATAAATCACACTGCACTTTTTTGCCATAAATAAACAAACAAGAAACTTGAATGATAAAATTTAAAAAAAAAACAAAAAACAAAAAAGGTACCTTGGGAACAGCTTCAGTTGCAACTAGCTTGGAAGCTGCAATCATAATAGAATCTCGATTCGTCTCTTCCACATACTCTTTGTTAGCTTCTTCATCTTCCGTCTCGTCTGCATACAAGAAAAACAAGTGTTCAATCACTTATTAACAATTTTTTTTTTTTTTTTTGAGAAAGTTATGTTACCTGAAACATCAAACTGCTGCTCACAAAGCTTCCAGAATCTTCTAATGGTAGAGATGTCAGGACAGTATCCTAAACTCTCCAGATGTGTTGCTTCAAAGAGCGGCTTTCTGAACAAACACCATGACTCTGCAAGTATTGTACAGACCTTGGAAAAAATGGGAGAGAGTTTAGAAAATACCAAATTTGGTTCAAAATTCAAAAAAAAAAATGCAATATATATGCTCACCCTACTAGCAATGAGGTTTCTAGAAGTTCCTTTTCCTTGAGCTTCAGGTGGGTTTTGCAAAAAGTAATCAAGCTCATTAAATAGAATGTTCCGTTTGGATACCAGAGAAGACAAGGATTCCTCAGAGACAACTTTGCTGTTCAAAATCGAGCATAAACACCAGGCAACATGTATATACATGTTGAGAAGCAGAAAACTGACAACCTACATAATACATTTATTCAAATATGTAAAAGCATTGAAAATATGTTTAAAAAAGATTTGGATTCAAACCTCGTCATCTATGTGGCGGAAATTTTTTAGAACCATAGCAATATCATCATACAGACTTTCAATTGGTACAGGCCTTAACAATTGCAGCTCATATAATCTCTTCATGTTTACAAGAAGTGAGTACTCGTCATCACCATCCTACAAACAAAATACACATCTTAGTTTCACCAAGATAAACTCACTCACATTTAGGAATCCTAGTGATATTAAATTGTAATACAATCATACCGCTACTTCTTTTATTGCAGCTTTAAGTTTAACAATAAGCTCCTCCTCAAGCTTCTTCAGTTTATTTTGAGCAAAATCTTGTAGCTCACCCCGGCTTCCAGTTATGCAGAAGTTGATAGCTTTAACACAAGATCTGAGAGCATCTTTGTCACCATGTTTGAAGAACGTCTCTATTATCAGGTCAAGAACCGTTTTAAAACCCTGGAATAAAAAAAATAATAAACAATTCTTTTAAGTAAGACTTTACAAACATATATAATGAACAAAAAGGGAAATTTTAATTTTTACCAGCCTACCTGTTCCTGTCTCTTCAGTGAGTAAAGCTCAAGATTCATGTGAACAATAATTTCAACAAGCGAAGGGACTTTCGTTTTGTCAGTCATATATTTGCGCATAAGTGGTGCGTAGTTCTTCATCATAGCAACAGTTATATCCTTCCTATTGCTGTCAATCATTTCCTATATTTGAAGCAAAATATATATATATATATATATATATATATATATATATATATATATATATTATTATGGCAAGACTTATACTTGATTATGAAACAATGAAATAAGGCGACTTGCTTACCCTCTGAGCTTTAGTGTAGGACTGTTTCCTATGGTCGATAACAGGAACAATCCTCTCTCCAACAGCCTTCTTGACAGATGCACAGAACAATCGTGTCAAGTTTGTTGCATCATCATCTGTAAGCTCAATTGAGGGATTCTCATCCAACAGCATAGAGATTATACGCTTCCAGTCCTTCATGGCATCCATGAACTCCCAAATGTCATCAATCACATAGGTACTTAGCATTTGATCTGCTGAAAACTCTTTTAGTATTTGCAGCATCCTGAGAAGATGAATATGTGATGAATCGCCTTCATCTCCTGATGAACGAGACTGTGAGTTGTTGAACTTCTGAGCAACAACATGATCATACACAAGCGCCCCAATGGCATGCCTGATTTCGGGAGGATCATCGATTAATAAATCATATAATGAGCCTAAATCGTCATCCGGAACCAACTGATGTCTGCAATGAGCCACAGATAATGTTAAAATTATCCACATTAAACTGAATACAAATAATCAAAAAGGGTATTCCGATAGATACCTCAATAGCTGTTTTACAAGACTGATAGCACACACTGCAACAGACAGATCAAGATCATCAGCAAGATCCAGCATCCGTTTATAAAATCGCTCAGTAAACAATCCAAGAGATGGCACATTGTCATCCACATCATACAGATTTTGCAATGCAAGGACTGAAGCTTTCCTGACGCCAGCATTCTTCAGATATATATAAATAAAATAACATTAATAAATGATCCTTTTGTGGGTGAGCAGGAACATAATTTATAAAAAGATAAGAGCCACAAAAGCAACTTACCTTGTCGTTCAGTGTCCATCCAAGATATTTCAAGTACAAATCCTGCAAGAACAGTGATGGGTATGAGATGATCCATGTTCCAAGTGATTGTATGCACGACATGCGGATTTCAGGATCAATGTCTCGATAACGATGCACAAACAACCTTCAAAACAATCAAGAAGCTGTTACTGAACTGAAGAAACTATGGTAAGCATGAAGCAACTAGAAAGAAAGCCTCTTATTAAGTGAGTACCCTGTAAATATTTTGCGCATCATCTCCTCTATCATTGTGATCTTTTCATGCATCTCTGAAAGCCTCTTATTAAGTGATTCGATATGAGGCCCCTCAGAGTTTTTCTTCTTCTCAGCAGTTAACTGCCTTTGGGTAGTCTGGCGATGGGCAGCAAGTATCTTGGCAGCCCCTATGAAGGAGGTGACCATCTGGAGCCCCACCATGGAAGCAACATGGCGATAAACTCTCGGGGGTGTACTGAAAAAGTGTGTATACTGAGAAAGAGATGTATTTTGAAAGCTATAGAACAAAGTGTAGGTATACCAACCATGACAAAGCAATAACGTAGTCCATGCACTTGTCAAACAATACTTGATCAAACAATGGTCCATTTTGGCACTCTGATACCAAATTATCCCAGAATGAGACAAGGTTCTCCTTAAAACTTCTGAATTCCTTCTTTTTTGAATTTTGATAGTCTTCAACTCTGCCCTAAATTTCATCACGCTAAGCAGAAAACATAGGAATGGATGTCATATGTTGGTAGAGCTTAAAAGAACATGGAAATTAACTATAACAAAAGGATACTTGTGCAGCCAGATTTACAAGAGCAACTACAACATCATCAACATTAGTTTCGTCCAAGAATTCTCCTTGGATGTTATATGTAGCTCCACAAGCCTGTACATTTTCAAGTCTAATCAGGTAAACATTCGAGTCACTAAAATGAAGTGTGACATTTCTTCAGGCTACTGGGATATGGGGGCAACATAGGAAAGTAACTATGTTTGAGATTGGAGAAAACCAAATGCATATTTACGGATTTACCTCAAACAGCATCGTTAAGAGTTCA